AATCTTAAAAAAACAAACAATAATAAAATAAAAAACTTAATTTTGATCGGTCAGTATGTATTTCAGCTAAATACATATATATGTATGTATGTGTATGACACAGTGGTCCGATCTGAAAATTTTTTTCGAAGATTGTAACGTTGCCCCAAAAAACTAACCAAGCAAGATTTCGTGAATATATCTTGCCTAATAAAAAAATTTCCCCAAAAATGGCTTATTTTGCTAGAACAGCTTGTATGACAGCTATGTATTTGCTCTGAACAATTTCATCGATCGATGGACATACAAAAAACAAACAAAAAAGATGAATATGAACAAAGTTCAAAGTTCATAAAATTTCTTTCAGACAAAGTTTTTATAATTAATGTGGGACAACTTCGATATCCTCTTTCCCTTCGGTGCAACCGAAGTTAACGTTTTTTCTTGTTTTTTGTTTACAATAAAAATCCAATTTTAACGATAAAGTGTGCATATGTAATAAGGAGCGAATACTTCATACGTAAACAGAAAATCTCCTGATACTGGATTGCCCATAAATTTGCAGAAGCAGACTTAAGACGCTAGGTTCCAACTACATGGACAGAGATCACAACATCTCAGTCGCGTCCAGCAGCCTCATGGAATTGGTCAGGATGCTGGACCTTGGTGACCACATGTGATATATGGGAGGGCATAATAGACCGTAGGTCGCAGTGCAAAACATCAATCTTTACTATCTATGCGATGAAAAAATCGAGTATTTTTTCGCCGCCAAGTGTATGTACAGTTTGGAATCCTAAAATTATTATTGAAGAAGGCATATTAAGTTCGCAACTGCCAGCAAGAATTATCTGAGATCCATGTCTGTCTTTCCGAAATTCGATTCAGAATGAAAATCTTTTTGATCCTTCGAACTACTATAGTAAGGAAAGGAGAGATTCAGAACAAAGGAGAAAATTAAGACTATTTGTAATATATTTTTATAACTCATATATAACAAGGTTAGATAAGTAATATCTCAAGATGGCAGACGATAATATTTAGATTGCTATGTACCGTCCTTTGTGAAGTCAGATGAAAAACTTCAGTAATTGCAGCTCAGGTGGTCAAAGTGTCTGAACCTATCACAGAATGTGCTTAGATGCTGCATTAATTTTTTMGTTATCTCACCCTGGATGTCTAAAATTATAAAATACGAGGTGTTTCAGCCTTGATTTGGTACGGGCGCTACTTGAAACATATACGTACATACATATATACTATGACTTATAATTAATGAAAATTTCCCCTGACTGTGTACTGGAGGATGCCATTGGAACATTAAGCCATTATGCACTTTTTAAAAATCTCGGACCCGCAATTCACCTAAAAGCATTAATATCTGTTAACTAACTGTAAAGTCTTTCATTTATCCTACTTAATAGTCTCTTCAATAATTTATATTCAACAGTCTCTAGAGACATTGTTAATTAGGTAATATAGGCTGCAAAACCCTCTCTATACCCTCTGCTAATGAACTCTGACCCTACCTTTTCTATATTAAATCACTATTTTTATTATTTTTAATGCCGTAATCCCTCTTAATAACTTGCAAAATCACTTGCCTTTATACAAAACACTTAATGACCGCCTACTGGAAAGCCCTGCAATAACAATAAAAAACAATAAAATTCATAAAAGTAATTGGTGCAAATTACAAACGTACTTAAAYCGCCTGCCACAAACAAACCGAAAGGAAGCAAAACAGCAAAAAGAGGCAACGAAAGTGAGTAAGCAGCCAAGCAAGCAAAGAAATAAGTTAACAAGATGAAAAATTTACAACAATTGAAAAAAGTACATATAAAAGGGAAATAACTTGAAGTGGGCATTAAAATGGAATAAGGCATTAAGCGAGAAAACGAGTTGAAAAGCAACAACAAAGCAGCATGACGACATAGAATGTGAATAATAGAAGCGGCAGTGCAGTGAAATCCGGAAGTTGCCAAGCGGAGAAAGTAGCTGTGAACACTAAGTATGCCGGAAAATGAAATTTGTAAGCTGCCAATCCTCACTTCACACACACACACACACACACACACATTCACACTCACTCTCCCACTCAACGCTAACTTTATTCATTCAATGAAAATGCTACGCGCCGATGCTTGAGCATTTAGCCAACCTTAAGCATTTTAATTGAAAAGTCACAGCATGTAATTAAAGAAAGGAGAAGCAGCGTTGACATGCTGACAAGCTTAATAAAGACAAAGCGTAATAAAATAAAATTAACAGAAGAGAAAACATCAAAAATAATGCCAAATAAAATTTAAAGGCGAACGAAAGGATATTCCTGTAGTTTAGAGGGGAGGAGATGCTATATTTTATGGCTTAAACTTCACGCTAGAGTGAGTGAGTCGAAGACTGGTTGTCTSGCAAGGAATATCTTTGTAATGTAACATTGTGCATTTGTGTAACATGTTGGGTTAGGTCTAGTTATACCCTGCTATGAAGTGTATAAGATCTAGAACTTCGTCTGTTTATACGTGTACTAGTMCCTCGGTTTTTGAGATATCGATCTGAACTTTTGCACACGTTTTTTTCTCAGCAAGAAGCTGCTTATTTTTTGGAACCGTTTATATCAGACAACTATGGCATATCGCTGCCCTACAAACTGAACGATCACACTTTCATCYTTCTGTGGAAAACTTTTTTAATTGACAAGGTATCTTCTCGAAATTTTTCAAATATTATTATTTAAGGCTATAATCTMCAAAGAAATCAAAGAGACCGAACTACGTGTCATACAAACCRGTCGATCAAAAYCAAGTTCTTGTATGGAAAACTTTTTGCTTTGATAAGAGCTATTCATGAAATTTGTCACAGATTATTACAAAAAACAGTTCCAYAACTTTCGAAMAAATTATTGAAATTATTCAAATCGGACTACTATATTCTATAGCTCTCATACATACTGACCMATCTAAACAAGTCCTTGTATGAAAAACTTTCTTATTTGAAAATGTATCTTGACGAATTTTACCAGATATTATTATTTCAGACATGCTTACAATATGCGAATAAATAAAGGAGATCGAACTACAATAGCATATAGCTGTCAGACAAACTTACGGAACAAAATCTAGTTATAGATACTTTTATACCAATTAATTTAAAAAAGTACTTGTGAGGGGGATATTAGAGCTACGGTGTAGTAAAACTTGGGTTCTCTCTTGTTTTTAATAAGCTTGCCTGCGAAAAGCAGTTCTCCAATTGAAATATTGCAATATTCAAGGTCGTCAATGTGCTACTGCCCAGCCATGCTGCGCCAAAATTTGCTCAGAGTTTTAAGAGATTCTGTTATTCTTAATTTTTTTTTCCAAATCAGCGCTCTCTGCTCTCAGTGATAAGTTTTCTTCTTTAATCTGWGAACATGCTCAGTTTATTGATATTCAGATTCCCCTTTTCAAACCAGCTCTCTCTTCTCTCAGTAATAAATTATCGAATCAAAACTAGTATTCGTTATTGAATACAATATTACTCTTTTGGATCTATCTCTTTGGAACCTTACTGRGTGAACCAGGATACCAGCTTAGAACACTGTCACCCATAAAGAGATAAAGACATATTTTTAGTTTTGCTTCTATAATTAGCTACTCCGCGGCTCTTCATCTAATGCCCAGTTGACTTTGCATACTCTCCCCTTCTTAGGTATTATTTATCTATAAATATTTTAGATATTAGTTTTCAATTAAAATTGTCACAAGAGCATTTCTCYTTCAGGTAAGCTTAAATGAAAACAAACACAGCCATACAAAGCAAAGGAGATACATAACGGACGAACCAACTGCTAAGAGATTTAATTTCCTATTTCTTAAAAAGTTTTCCTTTAAATACTCATAGTAGCTAAACTACACAGCACAATTTCCTAACGTGTAACATATTTGTGTGTGTGTTTGTGGTGAAATTCGCTCGTATTTCCCTTAAGTTTTCAACRGYTTCAATACACACRCAWACACTCTTTCTATCTCTAACTCTGCGTCTTGCTCAACTCACTTGATCTTTCCTCGTTTTCCTTGCAGTTGCTCATAATATAGCAGTTATCTGTATTTACTTCACCATTGTTTACATTAGTTTGTGATGAATGGAGTTGTTGCTTGGCGAGGGTCATGGAAACTTTGCGTATGCAGCTTGTTGTTTGCCAATTCGCCCGTCCAGTTGCATTTAGGGACGACTTGTCTGGGCGCCGCCCCACCAACTAGTGCATTGCGTCAAGTGAGGRAGTTGCAATTTGTTTACAATCTGTGGCTATTGATGCATGGGATTAAAAGTAAATTGACTTAAGCTCTTCTAACAATTTGCTGCGGCGGGTCATTAAACCTTTACTATTGTATAATGGCTAATAAAAGGCAGTAAAATGTATTATATTACAAATACCGATATCCGTTACTCATTAGATAGCGTTAGGTTGAACTAATTTGCAGAACAAATTACTATTATGCTCATAAAGAAATTTCTCAAAGAAATTAAACTTCTGTTCGGTGGCAAATTTAAAGTGGTTTAAAGTCATATAGGGTAAGACTTACAACATGCAATCATTAAGCCTAAAAAGTAATAAAATAATATAAATATAAGGATGGGTCCAAACTACATGCTGAAGTCGGTGGTGCTGTTTTTTCAATAAACAGCAGCTGGTTTCACAATGGGAACTTAATACATTCACTTTATCCACCTACCTAAGCCCAAATTGCAAGTGCTTTTACAAAAGCTGACATTGTATAAGGTTAGGAAGGTTCTTATTCTGAAAAATATAT